AAATTTATAAAAGTAAACCATTATAGGTCACAGTACGGTCTTCAACACGGAGCCTTGGCTCACACCGAACAGTAAGCTATAAAGGGCCCCAAAAAATTACTAGTGTAAAACCATTCAAATGGGAAACCAACGGTCTAATCTATATAAAAAACGAGAAAAGAGAAACACTTATGAACCACATCAACAAACGACAACTACTGAACATCACTAGTTAAGATCGATCTCTGAGTTTACATTTAAAATAAGATCGATTCACATTAGATCAATTCAAACTAAACTACCTCTTTTTGTGTAATAGTTTAGTTAAAAACAATTAAAAGCATTTACACTGGACTTCAGTACTTCTAAAGTGAACTGATTTAGTTTAAATTGATCTAAATGTCCAAGTGTGAACAGGGTCTAAGACTGAAAAAATGAGAAAAAAACTCCTCAAACAATTCCATAATAGCAACTGCATCAACTTCAACATATGTTCTATCTTCCTGTGAAGTTTCAGAGATCTGGATTGAAAACTGTAGGAGAAGTTCGTTTCATAAATAAGGTACCTACTTTAACCTGTACACCCGCCCGCCCAACATCACCATAATATAAGCCAAAATGAAAGAAATATACACTAGCAGATTTTAAAAAGTTTTTGTGTATTATTTTTGCTGTTAAAAGCAGATTATCTCTATGTGTGATTTTTCAAGATAATAGACAGAAACAGTAATATTGCTTAACAAAAAATAACTCTTGCCACTGGACATTAAGCTACCAACAATCAATTAATCTTGAAGGGCAATTACTCCTGTAAGGAGTCAAATTGTTACAAATTATTTCCCTTTTTATATATCTTGTGTACATAACTAATTATTTTGCTGTCTACAGTTAAAATTTTCAAGTTAATTAGTAGATCAAAAACCTAAAATAGCTTAAAATTGTCATTTAAACTAGTAGATCTCCATTCTGAACATGTTCACACCAATTTTTGTTTTGTATCTGTAATGGTTTTCAAGAAATTATAAAGTTACTAATATCAACTTGCTATTTTTTATAATTTTTTTTAGAAGCAGAATACACATAAAAGAAAGTACACAAGTACATAAATAAAAGCTCCCTGCCATCAAAACCTGCCTGATTTCTATGATTTTTTTTGTTGTCATGTGCATAATCAGTTACAATGATTTATCTATAAATTAATTATATTTCTACTGAAATCACCTTAAATTTCTTATGTAAATGCACAGCTAGATAAAGTAAACATAATATAGTACTTTCCTGGGTCAAATAAATAAAATTCTAACCATATTGTTTGAGGTCATTTACACCAAGATGTCATTTATTGTCAGGAATCATCAACAGCATAGTTTTGTCCATTTATAGAATTTGAAGCTGATTTCAGATCCTCAGATGTCTATTTTAGGTAAACTAATGTTTTGGGGTGAAGTTAGTTAAAAGTTGAGATCGAAAAAATCAGTCATCGAATAACCAAGGATATCATCAAATGCCACTATATGCTTTCTTTGGTCATGCATAAAAACACATACAGGTATCCACAATAAATAATCTTCTTATCATAAATGTCAAATAAAAAAGCACTTAAAAACCACTTCCCAAAGTCATCTTGACATGGTCATCATGAAACATTCTTCTATTTAAATTAGTTACTATGGTAACATATAATTCTGTAATTCTTATGGATTTCCTCCATGTCAGAATGGATTTGGGTGATCTTTACTTTAATCAATGGACATGGTTCTTACAAGCTAATGAGTGCCTTCACCAGAAAGCTGTCATTTTCTAGAGTATGGATTTTTCCTATGTGCATTAAATGAAACTGCTCAAAGCAAAAATCTACACTGCTGTAAACAAAATAGAACTAAAGAGCAAAAACGTTAATTATAGATGTACTTATAAAGGGAAGAAACTCCTTGTATAAACCACAAGATCAATAAAGTTAACACAGAACACAAACCGATAAATGTTCTAATGGAAAAGTCTATATGACCCAAGTGTATTTGTTCACACCAAATTTCAGAAAGTCTAACTTTGGAGTTACAAATGTATGTCAATGTTTTGAAGTGTATACAGTATGAAAAGGAAAAACACTAACACCTCTACTGCTAGTATGAGATTAGAAACTGAGTTTAAACATGAACAACAATACACAGTTAACACTTCACAATAAAAAAAAACATTCAAATTGATGTGACAAATCATTTTAAAAGTTTCACATCAACATGACACTTGTGGTATCCAAAGGAGTACTTGCTTTACACTTAAGGTCATTTTACATTTTATATCATATGATTACTTGAATATAAAACGGAATTAATTACAAGAAAACTCACAGTGAACTGAAAACCAACAATTTTGCAATTTTTTTCATATTTCATGGACATCGATTCCCTAACAGTAAAAGCTGCAATGCTGAAAGATTTTCAACTTTTTGCTAAAACACCAAAAGCAAACTAAAATTTTCAATTAGAAAAAGAGTTTCATAACTTATAGAGGCTCACATCTTAATGGTAGCATTTATCAAAGTGAAAACATGAGCTGACATTCTTGTAACAGTAAAAAAATTATTACAAAGTAAACTTATTGCTGGTCCCAGTTTATGTTCAGGGACAAATATTTCATGTATATTCAGGATGTATTGACACAATTAATAGGAAGTGACATAGCTAAGGAAATACAAATAACAGGGGTTGAACTATCAGCTATTGCTCACTAATGGTACCCCCATTATAAGAATTAGGTAAACAGGAAATTAATGAGCTATTGATACAAAAGCCATGAAGATTGATTATAATTTTCAGAAAGCCCTGATTTGTAGTTCTTAAGAAAAATGTGATGAAATTTCATGGGACAGACAAACATATAGATGTTAACAGGTTAATCTCCCTCCTTCGGACTGAGGCTATAACAAACATAGCGAAAATACATATGGACAAATAGGGATCATCTGCTCTCCCAAAATTTGAACGAAAGGAGGCATGACATTAAAGAATCAAATCAACTTCTTTTATCACCTCTTACACTTATTTATACAGGAACCTTACAGAAAGGGTATAAAATCAAAATACACAATGTAAACTATTTTTGTAGCATTTAAATTCCACTTAATCCCCCTTTCAAGAGAAACCAGGAAACCAAATAAATCTAAATAGTTAGATAATTATAGTACTTACCTGTACAAATTAAATAAATTACAACATTTATTTACTGATATTGACAAACAGGAACTGATCAAGTTGTGAAACAAACTGGTCATTTTCCAGTTGATATCATTGCTGGCATAACTGAAGAAAAGGGTACTTTTTATTAGCCCCGTATCTGTCCTTACTTTAATCTAACTGTAACTGAAAAAAGATCAATGACATCCAAAAAGATACGATTTTTCCAGCTAAAGAACTTCTTACTGAAATTTTTTTTCAAGTACAAAAAAAGAAAAAAGAAAACTGTTGACAAAGAGATATGTCTAGCCTGTCAGCAGAAAATTCAGAAAAAGACAAACTGATAAGAAAGCAACATTTGTAATTAATTCAAAGTTGCTGGGACCATGAACTTAGGGAACAGGGCTTGAAATTGTTATCAAATGGTTTGTACTGATAGTAATGCAACTTTATAGAAAATATCATTGATCTATCACAAGTAGTACCTATCAAAATAACTGAGGCAGAAAACTTAACATTGAAAATTGCTTATTAATTGAAAGTCGCTGGATAAGGGGGCAGGGCCTAGAAACAGTCTTCAAACTAATATGTACCGATAACAATGCAACTTTATAGAAAATATCATTGATCTACCACAAGTCATTCCAATCAAACTTTAAACTTCAGCAGAAAACTTAACATTGAAAAGCAACACCTATGTTTCATCGCAGGCAGACAAAATCAGAAGAAAAGCTATTTCTTAGGAACATTCTGTTTCTGTTTGTCAATTTCACCCTTTAAAAGATTTTGACTCATTTTTCAACAGCATCCAATGAAAAATAAATTGCAAAAAATCTTCAAGGTGACACATTGGTTAGCAAATGTGCATCAAAGAGATGTAAGCCCTTTTAATTGGTTCAGTTGGGTTATTATAATATTAAAAAGAGAATAAGAACCCGTTTACACTTGTAAAAAAGATTGATCTTTCCTGAGATTGATCTTAAAAAGATCGATCTTTAGTCTAATGTAAACGGGAAAGATCAATCTTCAATCGGACTTAAAAAGTCCACCTCCAGAGGTGGTTTTAAAAAGATTGATCTTAATTGAATCGATCTTTCTTCAAGTGTAAAATGCTTAGATCGATCGTGATCGATCTTTCTTCAAGTGAACGTTATATTTAAATATTAAAATACATCTGCGCATGTTCGGTGACAAAAACACACGTTTAACAAGAGTGCACACACTGAAATGTCTCGCCTTCTTTACTAATCATTGATATTATGTTGATAGTTCTAAATATAAAGCTTTACTACAAATATCACATAAACTTAACATGATCCAAGAAAATGAGGTCAAGGTCATATAAACCAAACAAGAAATACATGTACACCTTACAATCATTCAATACACTAAATATAGTTGACCTATTGCTTATAGTTTCTAAGATACAGACTTAACCAAGAAAACTAAACATTGACTAATGAACAATGAAAATGAGGTCAAGGTCAGATGAACCATGCCTGGCAGACATGTATAGCTTGCAATCCTTCCATACAACAAATATAGTTGACCTATCTGCTTATAGTAATAGAAAAACAGACCAAAACACAAAAACTTAACACTGAGCTATGAACCGTGAAAATGAGGTCAAGGTCAAATAAAACCGGCCAGACTGACATGTACATCATAAAATATTTCCATACACCAAATATAGTTGACCTATTGCATATAGTATTAGAAAAAAAGACCAAAACTCAAAAATTTAACGTTGAACGCTGAACCATGAAAATGAGGTCAAGGTCAGAAGACAGCTGCCAGCTAGACATGTACACCTTACAATCATTCCATACACCAAATATAGTAGACCTATTGCATACAGTATAAGAAAAACAGACCAAAACACAAAAACTTAACTATAACCACTGAACCATGAAAATGAGGTCAAGGTCAGATGACACCTGCCAGTTGGACATGTACACCTTACAGTCCTTCCATACACCGAATATGCTAGACCTATTGCTTCTAGTATCTGAGATATGGACTTGACCACCAAAACTTAACCTTGTTCACTGATCCATAAAATGAGGCCGAGGTCAAGTGAAAACTGTCTGACGGGCATGAGGACCTTGCAAGGTACGCACAAACCAAATATAGTTATCCTATTACTCATTATAAGAGAGAAATTAACATTACAAAAATGAACATGTGACAGACGGAAACTTCGTAACATAAGGCATCTATATACAAAGTATGAAGCATCCAGGTCTTCCACCTTCTAAAATACAAAGCTTTTAAGAAGTTAGCTTACGCCACCGCCAGATCACTATCCCTATGTCGAGCTTTCTGCGACAAAAGTTGCAGGCTCGACAAAAATGATGGATGGGATAAGAAAAGTATATATTTGTGTTAGACCCCGTTTACACTTGTTCCATTCTCAATTTAATTTATAGATTCCGCCGTTTTTGGATCATTCTTCTGAATCGATAAATTCTTTTTCTTTGCTGCAAATCCTCATCTTCAAACGCATTGACCGTTCTTTTTTAAGTGATAGTCTTCTGTACGAAATTCCAATGATCCAACTATTTTCTCCATGATTTAGCAGTGATTGATAGTCCGTGTGAGATGCAAAAATTATTTTACTATTCTATTTTTACGATTATTTGTTTATGAAATGCAAGGTAATAAGGTCAGACCGGTTCTTTTTATGTCGCAGTGTAAATGCACTAGATTTAATAAGATCGATCTCAATCGATCTTGCATGTGCAAATGTAAATGCGAACTGGTCTTTTTAAGACAGATTCAAATAAAGATTGGTTCAATTTCGTTGAGTGTAAATGGGGTCTTAAAGCCACTTAGTGATGACAGTTAGCTTGAATGGAGTTTGATTCTAGTGATTTGAACATCATGGATCTGTCCCTGTGCTTTAAGTCCCTGTGCTTATATGGTGTCTTACAAGAGGACTAGAGTCATATTTCCTGAGGAGAGATTACCCAATAAAAGATTGTCATTTACCCAAGATAAATTGTGAGTTACAGGAGGAAAATTACTTTTTTAGTGCCAACTAATGTTTGGACTAATTCACAATTTGTGTATAATTATATAGAAAGTGTAGTGTATAGGTGCAAAGGTTTTTAAGAACATACATTTTTCACATGAATGTAAATCTTGTTTAGGTATAGTCATCAATGGATGTGTGTGTGGTCATCAATTAAGCTATAAACATTTAATAGGTGTATAATGGTGAGAACTTAAAAATCTAAGATAATACAGTAATAGGTTTATAAATCTCAAAACAAGAGTTCCATGTATTAGATACATCTATGAGGGTGTTAGCCTGATTGGGTGTATCTAATTTACAACAAGATATTATTGTCAATGCAGAATGATAGTTGTCCATAATTTTGGAGAGGGGGGTCTTTCAGAGATTTGACCATATGATCAATGCAGGGTATCCAATTTCATTTAACGACATCTTGGTGTAAATGATAACACAAATGTATTATACTAAAAGACCAAATTATAAAGATAATAGATCTTTTAAATAAATAAGGTAAAACAGCATTTTCTTATACTTACTTATGGAAAAGGCAAGAAAAGCCTATTTCAAAATAAAGAAAACTGTTGGTCTGAATAATCCATGTAGACTACTTGAAAAATTGTTTGATACATTAATATCACCTATACTTATGTACTGTTGTGAAATTTGGGGCATTTACTCATCCTTAAGGGACTCTGAACCCTTTGAAAAACTACACATTAACTTTATCAAAGAAGCACTTGGTGTTCATTGCAAGGCTTCAAATGATGCTTGTCGTGCTGAGCTTGGTCGAATTCCACTCAAAAGTAAAATTGTATTGTCAAGCATAAATTTTTTAGAGCATATACTTTCATCAGAAAATACACTTGTAAATCAAATTTTCTGTGCAACAAGGTTTTCAAACTACTGGATCAAAAAAACTAAATGCAGCTTACAAAAATTAGGATATTCATATCTTGTAGAAAAAAGTTGTTTAACAAAGCAGCACTTGGAACAAGTAAAACAAAGAATTTATGATCAGTGCTTGCAGAATCAAAATGCAAACATACAGGAATCTTCTAAACTCAGTTTCTTTCGTCAAGTCTACAAAATGGGTCAAAGACCATCATATGTTGATTCACTAAACAATTTAAATGATAGAGCAGCAATATGCAAAATACACATAAGTGCACATTCTTTAATGATTGAAAGGGGAAGACATCTTAACATTCCTAGAGAGGAAAGATACTTTCCTGTCTGTAAAAATGGGGAAATTGAAGATGAACAACATTTCTTATTACAATGTAATAGATTTACCTCAAAACGAGAAATATTAGAAAATAAAATAAATGTTATATTTAAAATACAGCGTAACATTACCACTGATGAAAAAATATCTCTATTGGTTAACAATAGCTCAGCATTATTACTAAGACTGTCTTCCTCTTTCATATCAGAGTGTCTAAATATAAGGAATAGTGAACTAATATGAAACATCAATATGTAACTTTTCATTCTACCATGTCAATTGATATAATTATATATATGCAATAGGTCTTAACCATTTATTGTTAATGAGTTTGTGCCAATAAAAATATTTGTATATTCTTATATTTATTTTATAACTTGAAAAAATGACTTTACTTTAATACTGAATTCACTGTTGTATGGTTTTGTAATGGTGTCCAACTTGACATGATAGACAATTTTATCATTTTGATGTTGTTCTTGATAAAAATTGAAAACTGATTGAAAATACTGCAAGTAGTGTAAGAATCTTTTTAATTAAATAAAAAACTGTTACAGTGTTTCAATCTCTAATCGATCTTGTTTTGTGCTTCATACAAGCAACAAGTATTAGATACACCAATGAGCACATTATCCCAATTGGGTGTATCTAATTTACACCAAGATATAATTGTCAATCCAGAATGATAGTTTTCAATAATTTTGGAGGGGGTCTGTCAGCAATTCAACCATACCTTATTGAAAAGCATGATAAATGCAGTGTATCTAATTTCATTTAACATCATCTTGGTGTGAACAGGAATATAACTTGTACTGTACCAGTAATATTACTGAAAAACAAGCTAGCTGGAAACAAATGACATTAAACAGGTCAACTAAAAAACAAACTCACTTAATAAATGGTTGTAGGTTAGGTATAAATATAAAATAAATGTGGATAGTGTCCACATGTGGACACAGATGATGCCCCCGCTTGCATATCATATAGTTATAAAGGGACATAACTGAAGAACAATAAAAGTGACGCTACCCAAATTTGAACTTGATCTGAGTTTATGTGGTAATAAGCATTGCGTGTAAGTCTCATAACATTTGGTTGAGGCTAACTTAAGTAGAGAACAGAAACTAAAAATTCAGCAATTTTTCTATTTGTATAAAACACGCATAACTCTAGAACGGTTGTGTGTAAGTTTATAACATTTGGTTGAGACAAACTAAAAAATTCAGCAATTTTTATGTTTATAAAGGGACATAACTCAAGAATGGTAAAAGTGTCGCCACCAAATTTCGTACTTAATCTGTATTATGTAGTAATAAGCATTGTGTATAAGTTTCATAACATTTGGTTGAGGCAAACTAAAGTTAGAAAACGGAAACAAAAAATTTGTACTTGATCTTAGTTTTGTGGTAATGAATATTGTGTTAGGATTCATAATGTTTGGTTGGCGCAAACTTAAGTTACAGAATGGAAACTAAAAATTTTGCAATCTTTCGAATTATAAAGGGGCATAACTCAATAATGGTTAAAGTGACACTACCCAAATTCAACTTGATCTGTGTTTTATCACTGGAAGTCAAAATTAAACATTGCATTGTATAAAGCATTGATTGTAGTTGATTCAATTATAATCATGGACAAAGGAAGATAACTCCAATTTTAAAATTACTTGACATTTAGAAGAAAATAAAAATTTTGCAATTTTTCCATTTATAAAGGGCAATAACTCTAGAACAGTTAAAGTGAAGCCACCAAAATTCAAACTTGATCTGTGTTTGTGGTAATAAGCATTGTGTATAAGTTTCATAACATTTGGTTGAGGCAAACTTAAGTTAGAGAACGGAAACTAAAAGTTTTGCAATTTTTCCATTTATAAAGGGCATAACTCTAGAACGGTTGAAGTGATGCCACCAAAATTCAAACTTGATCTGTGTTTTGTTGTAATAAGCATTATGTATAAGTTTCATAACATTTGGTTGAGGCAAACTCAAGTTATAGAAAGGAAACCAATTTTGGGACGTACGGACGGACGTACGTACAGAAGGACAAGGGTAAAACTTAATACCCCCACCACTAGGGCAGAGCATAAAAAAACATGTGAAAAACAATACAACAGATGATATGATAACCAAAATAACAACATACCTAAACTTTTGTATACAATTAGTATTTAATTCATAGATAGAAGGACAAGTTATTGAAACTTTTACCTTCCAGCTAAATTGTGTACAAATTCTGCTAAAACAGCAATTTAACAAATCATTATAATCATAACACTACCATAATACCTCAATAATGTCACTCTGGAGTCTTTATTTACATTACAAATTTTGTCTGATCCATAAATTGTTTTGTTTATTATCTTTATCAATATCAAATATTGACACATAAATATCAGTTCAAATAAAGGTATAATCTGGAACCTAAGGTGAAAAATAATAATTTTCTGTGAGTAATTATAACCTTTGCAATGATTTATTTATATCCTTTGATAAAAGGTGTTATATGTGTATCTTAAAGGTCAATAAATTGGCTAACATTATTACATTATTCTTCAAAAAAGTCTAATACAACACTATAAAACATGTTAAGACATATGGGTCAATATCCCTAATGTGCCTCGAAATGAGGAACTCAAAAGTTGTGTGTAAACAAAAAATCTCTGAGTAGTGATATTGGACATGTTTCTATTTTTTACAAATGACTGAGCTTAACCATTTGTGGTGATTAGGAAAGTAGAGGAACATAGAATAAATGTGTAAAAACTATGGAGCTATTAAATGTGTTCAAAGTATTAAATTTTCAAAAAACTTATTGTGCTAAAAAGGGGATTTTTTACCATGAGGAGCCGCATCACGAAAGGATGTTCGGGGTATGCTAATTTACGGAAAAAGTAATCACACTAAAATTGTACCCCGAAAATTTAACCACATATGTGAAAATGTCACAGCTTCAAAACGAGCTATCATACATATCCAAGTTTACAATATGGACTGAGCTACAGGAAAAAACCTTACCATTACCGCCTATGGAAGAACAATTAAAGATATTGACCCATATAATAGATCTCAGATCAGTGAAAGTTAACAGCTTTTCCATACAACATGGTTTTGTATTTTGAAAAATAGGGAGATATGAAAATAAGATGGGTGTATAATGATGGTATGAGACCAAAGCATAACCTAAACACAAACATTAACTTGTAAACTATGTAAAAGTTTCAAAGTCAATAAACCATAATGAGGGGGCGGGGTTGTATAATCTCCTGGAAATGAAACTTGCAAATGCCAATACATTTGCATACCAAATATCATTGACTTAACATTAGTGGTTCATCATAAACTGACCTAATCACAAACTAATACATGTAAACTAAGAAAAAGTTTCAAAGTCAATAGACCACGACTGAGGGGTAAAGACCAAATATTCTCCATGGAAATGAGATGTGCTAATGCTTATACAACTGTAAACCAATTATCATTTATCTACCACTAACGGTTCCCCTTAAACTGACCTAATAACAAACTAATACATGACAAGAGTGCACACGCTGAAATGTCTCGCCTTCTTTACTAATCATTGATATTATGTTGATAGTCCTAAATATAAAGCTTTATTACAACTGTCACATAAACTTAACATTAACCAAGTAAACTAAACATTGACCAATGAACCATGAAAATGAGGTCAAGGTCAGATGAACCATGCTAGGCAGGCATGTACAGCTAACAATTCTTCCATACAACAAATATAGTTGACCTATTGCTTATAGTTTAAGAAAAACAGACCAAAACACAAAAGCTTAACACTGAGCAATGAACCTTGAAAATGAGGTCAAGGTCAAATAAAACCTGCGTGACTGACATATAGATCATAAAATATTTCCATACACCAAATATAGTTGAACTATTGCATATAGTATTAGAAAAAAAGACCAAAACTCAAAAACTTAACTTTGACCACTGAACCATGAAAATGAGGTCAAGGTCAGATGACACCTGCCAGCTAGACATGTACACCTTACAATCATTCCATACACCAAATATAGTAGACCTATTGCATGCAGTATTAGAAAAAAAGACCAAAACTCAAAAACTTAACTTTGACCACTGAACCATGAAAATGAGGTCAAGGTCAGATGACACCTGCCAGCTAGACATGTACACCTTACAATCATTCCATACACCAAATATAGTAGACCTATTACATACAGTATAAGAAAAACAGACCAAAACACAAAAACTTAACTATAACCACTGAACCATGAAAATGAGGTCAAGGTCAGATGGCACCTGCCAGTTGGTCATGTACACCTTACAGTCCTTCCATACACCGAATATACTAGACCTATTGCTTATAGTATCTGAGATATGGACTTGACCACCAAAACTTAACCTTGTTCACTGATCCATGAAATGAGGTCGAGGTCAAGTGAAAACTGTCTGACGGGCATGAGGACCTTGCAAGGTACGCACATACCAAATATAGTTATCCTATTACTTATAATAAGAGAGAATTTAACATTACAAAAAATCTTAACTTTTTTTTCAAGTAGTCAATGAACCATGAAAATGAGGTCAAGGACATTGGACATGTGACTGACGGAAACTTCGTAACATGAGGCATCCATATACAAAGTATGAAGCATCCAGATCTTCCACCTTCTAAAATATAAAGCTTTTAAGAAGTTAGCTAACGCCGATGCCGCCGCCGCCGGATCACTATCCCTATGTCGATCTTTCTGCGACAAAAGTCGCAGGCTCGACAAAAACTAAGCAAAGGTTTCAAAGTCAATAGACCATGACTGAGGGGGCAGGGCCAAAAAATCTCCATGGAAATGAGATATGCCTATGCTTATACAACTGCATTCCAAATATCATTGACCTACCAATAGTGGTTCCCAATAAACTGACCTAATCACAAACTAATACATGTAAACTAAGCAAAGTTTCAAAGTCAATAGACCATGACTGAGGGGAGGGGCCAAATAATCTCCATCGTAATGAAATGTGCCAATGCTAATACAACTGCATATCATTGACCTACCACTAGTGGTTTACCATAAACTAGACCTAATCACAAACTAATACATTGTTGATGCCGGAAACAGCATACCTATGTGTCTCGCTTTTTGACTCCGTCAAGGCAAAACAAAAATCAGTGAATAGGATATTTGCTCTTTCTATATTTTAGCAAATAATGAGCTAAAAAAAAGTACATGATATCCAATAAAATATTGATGCACCATATGCCTATCTTAAACAAGACTAATACTAGGTCTGGACCAGCAACTCCCTGCATTTATTAATTGAGCTAACATGTATACTGGAGCATAACTGATCATTCCCTGAAGCCAAGAAAACTTTCACGAAAACTTTTCTTGTACAATGAGTGTTGCAAAATTTCAAACTATGGCAAACAGGAAGTGGCTAGACTGCAATTGTTAAGATTGCCTACTCGCTACAACTCAACATTATCAAGCTGCAGACCAACCATTTAATCATTCCCTTTCATAGAAGCCAAGAAAACATTTACAGAAGATTTCTTTTGGACAGACGGACAGACCTTCGGCGACACAGGTAAAATGATAATTGAAAGCCAATTTTAAGCTTCAAAACATGAATATTAAGTTTACTCTGACCTAATGCAAAAACTCAGTTTTTCATAAGCTGATTGTTAGATTTTTACAATACTGTGAATGTCCTTGACAGTTGACCTCACAAGACAAACACTAATACACTAATTCAAGCCTTAAGAGTGCCTCCAAACTTTTACTGAATGTAACATTAAGAAATAATGTTTTAGTTTTTGCTATAGAAATTGCATAGTTACAATTTATCCTCATTTTTAGCTCTTCCAAGTCACAAAACATGACACAAGTCTCTAAATCCAAATCTTAACAAAGTCAAATTCAATCTGTCTATCACATTTCAGACTTCAGAAAATTTCAATTACTTTCATTGCTACATTTTCCACAATATAGCTGCTAACCCATGTCATAATGGGACAGCCCACAATCAATGCTAATGATTTCTAAACTTGAATGGGATAAAATGTAATTTGCTTACCTCTTGTGAAATCCATGATTTGACAGACAACTCATCCTACATTCTCAACATCATATGTTATAGATCTATCATAGAAGATAAGCAACATTATGTCTATCACTAAATGATATAGGCACACAAATGTAATTCAGAACTCTACTTAGTATTTTCAATTGTCACCTGGGAGCTATAACTGTTTTATTCAATAAGTCATTTATAGTCCGATCAATAAGAAAGAAATAAAGACACATATTCTAGAGTTAATTTACTATTACATTTTTTAGCATATCCTTTTTGGAAATCATGCATCAGTTTCTTCTTTTTTATCACCGTTAAGTAACTATTTTAACACATTAGTAATTGAAGCTTTTCCCTCAATATTTTCTTGGTAGTATTCCCCAAATTTAAAATTTGTAACAATCCAAAGTTAATAACTATAACAAAATAATTGTACCAGTTGAACTTGCACATCAATCATCAATAATCCATCAACAATGTCAACAGAATATGTTCAAATGAATCATCTCAATGACCATATAAAGAAATGGTCAGCTAATCCAATTATCAAGAATTCTAATATCGGCCACCAGTTGATGGCTAATATCTTACATGGAGAAGACATTTTAAACATCTGTCTCTAAGCCTTTCTATGCCTCAATACAATCACTACATCCAATTCAATTACTCACATAAATTACATATAGAAATTAAATTATGAATTCAATATAGCTCTAAATACAATGGCCCAAAAAATTAAGCAGCAATGCAACAGATTTTTTATAATAGTACATCTCCACACATATTCACACCTTTACACTGACTGCACGAGGCTATTAAATTTATAACTTTAAAATCATATATCAATTCAACCATATTAAATTGACAAATAAACATCTGCTATACTATAGTATTTCACCTGATCAGGGTCAATCTAGGTTCAAGGCCATGTTATACTGTCACATTTCATTAGTTACAAAGTATCTTAGTGTTTGATTAAAGGGGAAGGTATAATTTGAGTGTATTTTGCACAAAATTTAAAAAAATGAAATAATCAAAATAGCACCGTAACTCTTACATTTCATTTGCTTTATTCATATTTCAAGAAAAACAGTTTGCCAAATGTTTTTCTTGACATTGCACTGCACTAAGACACATTGTCAAATCAGCAAAATTCATAACAAAATAGCAGAATTTAGTTATGAAGATACTTTTTCTTTGAAAATTTCAGGGGTAAACAAACCATGTGCAGTTTTTTTCTCTCCAATGTTCATAAAAGTCACATTTAATGGTAAAATTTTGTTAATCACATTTGAATCACTGTCTCAAACAAGAGTGCACACACTGAAATGTCTCGCCTTCTTTACTAATCACTGATATTATGTTGATAGTCCTAAATATAAAGTTTTATTACAACTGTCACATAAACTTAACATTAACCAAGAAAACTAAACATTGACCAATGAACCATGAAAATGAGGTCAAGGTCAGATGAACCATGCCAGGCAGGCATGTACAGCTAACAATTCTTCCATACAACAAATATAGTTGACCTATTGCTTATAGTTTAAGAAAAACAGACCAAAACACAAAATCTGAACACTGAGGAATGAACTGTGAAAATGAGGTCAAGGTCAAATAAAACCTGCGCGACTGACATATAGATCATAAAATATTTCCATACACAAAATATACTTGACCTATTGCATATAGTATTAGAAAAAAAGACCAAAACTCAAAATCATAACTTTGACCACTGAACCATGAAAATGAGGTCAAGGTCAAATGACACCTGCCAGCTAGACATGTACACCTTACAATCTTTCCATACACCAAATATAGTAGACCTATTGCATACAGTATAAGAAAAACAGACCAAAACACAAAAACTTAACTATAACCACTGAACCATGAAAATGAGGTCAAGGTCAAATGACACATGCCAGTTGGACATGTACACCTTACAGTCCTTCCATACACCGAATATACTAGACCTATTGCTTATAGTATCTGAGATATGGACTTGACCACCAAAACTTAACCTTGTTCACTGATCCATGAAATGAGGTCGAGGTCAAGTGAAAACTGTCTGACGGGCATGAGGACCTTGCAAGGTACGCACATACCAAATATAGTTATCCTACTACTTATAATAAGAGAGAATTTAACATTACAAAAAATGTTAACTTTTTTTTCAAGTAGTCACTGAACCATGAAAATGAGGTCAAGGACATTGGACACGTGACTGACGTAAACTTCGTAACATGAGGCATCTATATACAAAGTATGAAGCATCCAGGTCTTCCACCTTCTAAAATATAAAGCTTTTAAGAAGTAAGCTAACGGCGCCGCCGCCGTAGCATCACTATTCCTATGTCGAGCTTTCTGCGACAAAAGTCGCAGGCTCGACAAAAATTACTAAGATAAACTATAAATACTTTACCATATGGAATTTGCTCATTGTTGAAGGCTGTTATTGTTGTCTCAGTGGCAATCATACCACATTTCCAAATTCTTATGCTATATCATGTAGATGATGCTCAGACTTTGATTACTGAATCTGTGATCAATTTGCCTCATCTAGGGAGAAAAAATTTCTTTGTTTGCAAGGCAAAAATAAGATGTGGCAGGATTACTAATGAGACACCTATTCACTAAATATGTGAACTTCTGAAAGGAATTTGTAAAGCCCTACACCAATGAGCAAAACTCATACTCATTACTGTTCATGAAGCTATAAAATGCTCAAGGATGACAAAATATGAACAACACATTAAGGAGAAAACCAACAGCCTTAAACTATCGGTAATATAACAACCACTAGATTACAAGGTTTTGGGGTTCTTTTCACAAAAAGTTGTATGACAAAAAGTGATTGAAAGTTATACTGAAATGTTCATCACTTGCAAGTATATCTTCTTGTAAGATTTTTTGTGGAATGAGTTGCTGAATTGGAACCGATACATAAAGAATATGATGTAGTTAAACATGTCTGCCAGAGCTTAACCTGGAACACAATAAGGACACATTGTAAAAAAAAACTCATAGATCATTCTTAGCACAAAAACAGAAAACAATTAAAAACCAACTGTTCTCAGAACAATTGAAGGTCTTTCCACCCCAAATGTGCATCTTTTGATAGAAAAATATTCAATTCTGATTTAAAATGTCAGTTTTGCTTTCTGATGATAGCTTAATTTACGCTGATTCCAAAAATATATGGTTTGTAT